GCATCCATAGAGGGAAGAAGAGACCGGTGAAGGATGTCACCTCGAATAGCCTCATACTGAGGGAAGAGAGCCGTTAAGAACTGCACTAAATGACCCTGCTCCCGAAACTCAATATATGCATCTAGTATCTTGAGACTAAGTGGTTCTATTAGAGCTAACTGACCCCAAAGACCTGTCATCTCAATATAAAAGTCCTAAATAGTCTGATCTCGCTAACGAGCACTCTGCATAGCTGTTTCCAACTCATACCGCTTGGCAAAGTTGGATTGCTGATAAACACCTAGTAAATTATCCCACCCTCCTTGGCAGTACTGCACTTGGAAAACATCATTCCAATACAGTCATCCATAGAATTATGAAACCAAGTCAGAACTTGGGCGCAAGTATCACAGAAAGTCAGATATCCTTTTGCCTTCGGGTCCGATAGACGAGGAACAGAACCAGAAACATAGCCCTATTTTTTCTGACTGAGAAGAAAATTTTTCATAATACTGACCCGATAGGCATAATTGCCACCGGTGAGTTTGCATTTGATGGCTTGGATTTTAGTGTCTGACATTGTAATAAAACAAAGTTTATAGAATGTTATGGGTCAAAGTATAAATAAAACAAATTAGGGCTTCAAGTGTAAATACCCAAAACCAGTAGCAAAGAGAGAAGTCAAGAAGAAGAAGCCAGAGTCAGACAAAGGTCGCGAGAGAAAGAGAGAGAGACCTTCGCGACAGAGAGAACCACCTTGCGAAGCCAAATCATGAGAGACTGAACCTGATGGAGTCAATCGATCGAGAGGAACAAGAGCAAACCGTGATCGCAAGTCTGGTAAGAGGGGAGATCAACCACGATCGACTTGAACAGAGACTAGACGAACCAAATGGGTCGACTCGAACCAAGACCAGATGAACCGAACCCAATCATAAATAACATGAGTCGCACGTATTCACAAGGTTGAACCAGAGAGTTCAACGAAATAGAAAAGCTTCAACAATGGCTACTAGGGTTTCGAACCAGGCTCTGATACCATGTAAGTTTTCTGAATGAAATTGTATATTAGACTGAATCAATAAAACAAAGAATACATCACTTATATAGAACTCTAATTCCTAAGCCTAAAAGGAAAAAGGAGAAACCGAATATAGGCAATATTCTCACAGGATTACCCTGACAACCTGATTTGTGATGGTTTATACACTTTGAGGACTATATAAATGCCAAGCTGCAGATAAAATGAAGCACATAACCACCAATCAATTCTCTTCATCTTTATCATTTCTTTCTTTATTTTTTTGCTTTACTTTTCTTCATGATTCACAAAGCGTGATGCATGATTAGATTCATCCACATGTTCACTGAATGAATGAGACTGCCTTGTTAGAAAGATTTTGAGGCTTACTTGAACAACTTCATCAACTAAAGCGACATCCATTACCCCAGGGATGAAACCAGCACCAATTCCTTGAATTTTATGAGGGCCTAAAACATTACAACATGTAATATGTCAAGTTCAAATAAAAAAAGATATTGCTCTTCTTGAAAGCTAAAAGATTAACAAAAATTTGCAATTATAGAAATTCCAAGTATTAGGTAATGCCATGATGGCCACCAGAAAAGTAGATAAATGGCTACTGCACATGCAATAAGTTGGTTAGATTTTCTCATACATGGTTTCAAATGTTGATGTCAACAAAAAATAAAAAATAAAATAAAATTGCAGCTCAAATTATTAAAGTGAATATGGATATATCAACAGTGAATTTGATGTCATCAACGAAGTATGGATTTTCTTTTTCATGCTGTAAAATTTTACTCAACAATATTTCCAAACTCATAACCAAGCACAAGAATACGAGACAGTAATATCCACATTGAATTTTCAACAATGCATATCAAATTGCATGCAAGAAAACCCATGTTTAAGGTTTTCTTAGTCCCTGTTAACAACCACAAACAGTATATTGGCAAAATGACATCACATATTGTACATTAAATCCATCCAAATATAAACCATAATAAGGAAGCAAATTCTCTAAAATCTCTGACTGTGCTGCTTTTGGCATAAATATTCTCATAGCTGAAACTCTTTTAGGCATTGTTTGTTTCATTGTTGCAAGCACAATTCTTAAGAACTTGTGTTTAAAAACATGCAGGTGTAGCATGTAGAGAGCAATATAAAGGAAAGGGCAAACTTCACTTTACCCCGTGGTTTGGGCCATGTGCAGTTTATCCCCCCAACATTTGGAAATAATTACATAACCCACACATGGTTTGTGAACTAAAGTGTACTGTTAAACATTCCATCCAACTTGGCAGACATAAAGGGATTATATGCTCATTTTCAAATTTCAAGGGCATAAATCACACATAGAATAAAGCATAGGGGTTAAAGTGCACTTTGCCTTCTAAACAAATGACGAAAATATAGGAGTATTTTAGTCTTTTTCATTAAATCATCAACGGACCTAATGGTGCACTTCAGTCCATAAACCACAAGGGGGTTATGCGGTCATTTTCAAATGTTAAGGGAGTAAACCGCATATGAAATAGAGCATAGGGGGTTAAAGTGCACTTTGCCTTCCAAACAATTGACGAAAATATAGAGATATTTTAGTATTTTTCATTAAATCGTTAACTGGCCTAATGGTGCAATTCAATCTACAAACGACAAGGTAGTTATGTCGTCATTTCCAAATGTTAGGGGGAAACAGTACATAGCCCAAACCACAGGGCGGATAAAGTGAAGTTTGCCCAAGGAAAGATGTGCTGCTTGATTAATCCAAGGTGTACGGAGGGGTGGACTAGGAATAGATCCAGCCCCAGCCTTTTGATAAAGCACTACACTTACATACAAGAAAATCAACATTAGAAGACTAGAATGATTAGCAGCCAATCTTTGCTTTTATCCAACAAATGAGAAAATTCAATCTTTCACAGAACATGTTAAAGAAAAATATTCATACCAGGTCATTCGTGACACTCGGCACACAATTTTTTGTATAAAAAATGGTCATAGGATATTCACATGACATCGACCAATGGCTAGTTACAAAGCATGTTGATTGATGGTTTTGATACAAGTCTAACATACAAAACATTCCCAACAATATTAAAAATAGAAAATTAGTCCCTTTTCTACATTCAAAGATGAGCACTAAAGCCTCCCCTTCACGGCAGGAGTATCTGTGTGTGTGTGTGTGTGTGTGTGTGTGTGTGTGATGAAAATTTATTAGAGTTTGCTAATGAAAAAAGCCAATAAAGCTTGATAGCATCAAAAGTGCTGTTAAACATTTAGAAAAAGAAAATTGTGAAAATCTTATCGTGCTAGAAAATAACAGACAAACATTTTATAGTTTACATATCATTGACATCACTGGTCATTAGATACATTTTAGACATGTTGAGATGCAACAGACAATCTGAAACTAGGTCAAGCCTAAGGAACGTGTCGTAAGTTTAGTATTTAACAAGAGAGCCTAAAGATTTTGTCACAAGGTTACTATCAGTACTGAACAAGCTACACCAAGCATGCTTTGTCATCTGCCACACAAAGCGAATCATTAGGCAACTTGAACTTTAAAAAAGGATAACTTTATTTTTGAAGCAGTAATGATCCTCAACACAAGTATTGAAAGTCTTCGTTATATATAGAAGCACGAACAAAATTCATACACAAAACAACCACTGCTTATCACTCTCTCAAGTAATGAAAAATGGCATTTGTTTGTAAGACAAGCCATTTGAAGTAGTTTGATATCTATTCACTCTTTTTTTTCAATTAATTGGTCAATTTATTATGATCATCACAGAAGAATCATGAGAGTTTGGTCAATCAATAATTGGTAAGCCCTTGATCTATGGGAGCCGACCTACACTAGCCAATGAAAAAACCTCAAAACATATAAACAACGATAAATCATTTTAAGCAAAAAGAAAATATATATATATATATATATTACATTGTAAGTTGTACTTCCAAGTTCGTTTCCTTGATAATTGTACATCTGATTGTAAATGTACTTCCAAGTTGTACTTTCAAGTTCGTTCCCTTGATATTACATTGTAAGTTGTACATCTGATTATTCTAATTCTTCAAATTTGAGTCGGTCAAATGTCGAAGTTTAAGGTTCACACCTAATTAGGTGAATGCTTTTAATTTAAAATGTATATTATGATGAAGCTTTAAACATTATTCAACATTACTAATGTTTGCGTTGACATATTCCATAGCATATCATAGGACTACTTCTGACAACAGTTTAATCACCCAAATCCCCCGCAATAGAAGCGGGGGAAAAGCCCCCAACAGACAAGTACGCTCTGCTGAAACAATTAGACTGCTTAGGTGAACCAGTCCACCTATCTAGCAGAGCAGCAGAGTACACCAGGTCTTCGTTGCCTCATCAATTTGTCAATCCTGTTACATAGTAATAACTTTGTTTTCCATCATTCTTCTGTGTACAGAAACAAAGTCACAAACAAATAAGTTCATCATAGTAAATCCACAACCAAATACACAGTTGTGTCTACGTGCCCAGATGTTAGACATTATCATGTCCAAAATCCTAGCCTGTTTCCCAAAATCACATGTAATAACCATGCCTAATGATGATTGCCAAACACAAGTTCATTCCAAATCATATATTCCAACTTGTCAAAGCCAACAAAATATCTAAAAGAAGAAAGAATGCACCAGAAATACAAGAATATTGTTGACACCAAACCAGGATAGAAAATGGGGAGACATGTTGGAAAGCACAACTCACCAGGTTTTCCTCCATTTAAAACTGCGTTTTCAACTGGTTCTACACCATATAGCTGTATATGAATAAAGAAGGGCACCAGCAGCAATACAAGAAAAAGAACACAGATTGACGAGAGAGAGAGGAGTTCATTAAACTTTACTTTTCCAATAAAATAAGAGAATGAAAAAGATTAACCTTAATCTCAGGGTTTTGCTCTTTAAGGTACCTCCCAACACTTGTAATTGTACCACTTGTGCCTATCCCAGAAACAGAGGCATCAACTTTCCCACCCGAGCCTTTCCAAATCTCTGGTCCAGTGGTCTCTGAAGATTTTAGAGAAGAGAAAGAGTTAGGGAATGAGTGAGACCTCATCCCCTTTTATATTGATAATAATGCATAATTACAAGAGTGCTATTACGCATAAATTATGGGCCAGCTCATTACATCAATCAAGGGAAAATAAAATCAAATAAGAATAAAATATATGCAATATTATTTCCTATTCTAACACTCCCTCCCTCTCAAGCTAGTGCGAAGATATTTCTCATGCCCAGCTTGATGAGAATGTCATGAAATGGTTTATTCCCTATTCTTTTGGTAAGAACATCCGCCAGTTGATCACTAATCTTCACAAATGGAGTGCATGTGATGCCACTAGTGAGCTTTTCCTTGATGAAGTGCCTATCAATCTCCACATGTTTGGTTCTGTCATGCTGAACTAGATTATGAGCTATGTTGATAGCCGCCTTGCTATCACAGTACAACCTCATGGAATCAATTTGATGAATCCCCAAGTCTCTCAACAATAATCTAATCCACAACAACTCGCATACACCCTAAACCATAGCCCTGAATTCTACATCGGCACTAGATCTAGTAACCACATTTTGTTTCTTACTACGCCAAGTGACCAGGTTACCTCCAACAAATGTGAGATACCCAAAAGTTGATCGTCTATCAGTGACTGATCCAACCCAATCTGCATCAATAAAAGCCTCCACACTAAGATGACCATGTTTTGAGAAATAGAGACCCTTTCCAGGAGAAGATTTTAGGTATCTCAAAATCCTCATAACTGCCTCTAAGTAAGTAGTTTTAGGAGCATGCATAAACTGGCTAATTATACGTACTGCAATAGCAATGTCTGGGCGCAAGTGGGATAAGTATATAAGCTTCCCAACTAATCTCTGGTATCTCCCCCTGTCCATTAGCTCTCCCCCTTGATCCTCACTTAGCTTCTGACCCGATTCTAGAGGTGTGTCACATGATCTACTTCTACGCCTCCCAGTCTCCTTTAGCAAGTCAAGTACATACTTCCTCTGGCATATGAAGATACCATCCTTGAACCTAGCTACTTCAATACCCAGAAACTACTTCAAAGTGCCCAAGTCCTTGATTTCAGACTCCTTGGCAAGGTACTCCTTCAACCTTAGAATTTCTTCAACATCATCCCCTGTCAGAACAATATCATCAACATAAACAATTAAGGCTGTAGTCTTACCAAGTGATGAGTGTTTGACAAATAAGGTATGATCAGCCTAACTCTGCCTGAAGCCATATTTCAACATAGCTTGAGCAAACCTTTCAAATCAAATCCTAAGAGATTGCTTTAGTCTATAAAGTGACTTTCGGAGCCTGCACACTTTACCCTTGGACCTAGCATCTTCGAACCTAGGAGAAATATCTATATAGACTTCTTCTAAATCTCCATTAAGGAAGGCATTCTTCACATCAAACTGATGAAGTGGCCAATCTAAATTTGCTGCAAAGGAGAGCAGTATTTTCATAGAGTTCATCTTAGCAACTGGTGCAAATGTATCTTGATAATCTACCCCATAAGTCTGAGTGAAGCCTTAGCAACCAGTCTTGCTTTGTACCATTCTATGGAACCATCTGCTTTGTGTTTTACAGTATACACCCACTTACAACCAACTGGATTTTCACAACTAGGTAACTCCACTAACTCCCAAGTGCCATTCTTGCTAAGAGCTCTCATTTCCTCCATCATGGCATGTTTCCACTCAGGAATAGAGAGAGCATCCTAGAAATTGTTAGGCAAACTTACAGACAAAATCTTAAAAAGAAAGGCTTTATATGAGGGAGACAGATTAGAATATGAGACATGATTAGAAATAGGATGCTAAGTACATGACCTAACCCCCTTCCTATTAGCAATAGGAACATCAAGATCTGAAAACTCAGGAATAGTAACATTAGGATCAGAATTACCTAGACTCTCAGGAGAGGGGAATGACTCTGGACACTCATCCGAGGAAGCAGTTGGCAGGAGAGGAGGGAAAATAGGTTCTTGTATCCAGGTGAGTTGTTGTCTGTCCTTGTCCCTGACATAAACTTTGCCTCCATCAACAACTGCTACGGGCTTATCATCCTCTATCTATGCAACCACTGGCAGAGGTGGAACATGAATCTCTTCACACCAAGGCGTCCCCTAAAGGGATGACTAGGACATTGGAGAGGGGAGAAAGTAAGACTGAGACTCGAAAAAGGTGACGTCCATGGAGACAAACCATTTGCGAGTGGGAGGATCATAACACTTATAACCCTTTTGTGTGGCAGAGTAACCTAGAAAAACACACCGAAGAGACCGAGGATCCAATGTACCACGAGTAGGGGAATGATTATGGACAAAACAAACGCAACCAAAGGTCTTAGGGGCAAGGGAGAACCCAGAAGAGGTGGACCCGAACAAAACTTGGAGGTGTTTGCTTGTGAAGGACTTGGGTAGGAAGACAATTAATCAAATAAGCGGCAGTGAGAACCGCTTCCCTCCAATAGGATCGAGGAACCCGCATCTCAAAGGATAGACAACGGGCGACATCAAGAAGATGGCGATTTTTGTGTTCTGCAACACCATTTTGTTGAGGAATATTATTGCATGAAGTTTGGTGAATAACGCCATGAGTAGCGAAGTAAATGGCAAAATCAAAGTCAATATATTCCCTCCCATTATCAGAACGTAGAATTTTGACAACCGCCCCAAACTGAGTACAAACCATTTTATGAAAATTTTGAAACACAAAAAATACCACACATTTATCTTTCATCAAATAGATCCAAGTGGCCATGGAACAATCATCTATGACGGTAACAAACCATTTTTTACCGGTTGAAGACACAAAACGGGATGGACCCTATACATCAGAATGAATACATTATTTTTCTCAAAAACAGAAGAAAAAGATGCTTAAGTAGTAAAAATGAGGGATGTCTTAAGCGACGATACCACACCCAAAGGTCTTCCTTGGTGGATGGTAACTAAATAGATGAATAAGCCAGCTTGTCAGTCTGATCCAGAATGTTGAGACCATAGTCCTCTCTACCACTACCAATCCTCTTTCTCGTGATAAGGTCCTAAAAAAGACAATGATCAGGAAAAAAATGTCACGCTACAATTCAAATCACAAGTAATACGACTCAAAAATAAAAGATTAACACTAAAATTGAGAACATGGAATACAGAGGATAAAGGAAGGGAAGAGGTGGCATGAATTAAATCTTTCCCTGACACAGATGAAATAGTACTGTTAGCAATACACACTTTTTCCTGACCTGAGGAGGCTGTATACTCTGAGAACAAATTAGAGGAACCAGACATATGATTGGAAGCACCCAAATCAATAATCCAAAGAACAGTCTTATGAGATAGCAATGCACTTGTAAAGGAAGCCAAATTACGTGAGTTGGCAAAGGAAGAAGATGATGCACCGAAGACAGTAGTAGAGGCTCGACGGTCTAACAAGTGGCGAAAAGCAATCTCAAACTCTAAGGCAGACAACCCAGAAACATTAACAGCCGGTGAGACAACAGGAGCTGAAAATGGTGCTCAACCCTTTTAGAAAGATGTGCCCGAGCATTGGTACCTCGGCCTCTAGACTGGCTCGACCTACCCCCTCGAGAGCCAAGACGATCTCCTCAGCCATCGGATGGAGTCTCATGCAGCTTCCAGCAAGTCTCACGTGTGTGTCAAGGTCTACAGCAGTAGTCACAAAAAAGAGTATCCTTCTCAGAGAAAGGATGAGAACCACAAGTCATACGCTCTTCATCTCGGGGGCTGCAAAAACCAAGGCAAAATGATCAGTAGTGGGAGAAGCAAGCATCGCGGAACGGCGATTCTCCTCATTCTGCACATAAGCAAAGGCTTCCTAGAGAGAATGAAGCATATCCATACCAAGTACTCTACTCCGAACTGGATCATACTCCACACTTAGGGCTTCTAAGAACTTGAAGACTCGCACCTGTTCTACAAACTTCCGGTAACCAGCAGAATCCATGGGGTAGACAGGTTTATAATCCTGAAGATGATGAAGTCGCTTCCACCCATTGCTAAGGAAGGTAAAATACTGGAGAAATCTCACCCTGTACCAACCTTTCAATGGAGCAACGTAACTCAAAAGTTTATGAGAAGTTCCCTTTGCGGGAGTAAGTGGTAGCTACAACCTCCCGGATATCCTCTGCAGTGTCCATAGCCAAATAGCCCTCTCCAATCTCAAGGACCATAGAGTGGATCAACCAACCCATGATAAGAGAATTGGTGATTTCCCACTGATCATAACTAGGGTCCATAGTGCTAGGTGCCTGTATTCTGCCCTCAACATACCCCATCTTCCCTGTGCTTGGACCTAAACAAATGATATCGATCAAATAATTAATCTATCCAATCAGCTACCAACATATGCTGATACGTGATAATACAGAAACTCAAAAGTACTGGTGCCATAATACCTTTGGGTTGGCAGGGTTTTAAAATTGATGAAGAATGTAGGCATTGGAGGTCTTTTCCTTTATTTCTTCCTCCTTTTGAACAGCCCCTTTCATGCCCCTAGCAGGATCTGTAAGAACCAACTCAGCTCCAAAAGCTCAGAGAATAATTCTCCTTTCCAGACTCATAGAAGCAGGCATGGTAATGATTAGTTTATAACCCTTAGCTACCGCCATAAAAGCCAAGCCAATACTAGTATTACCACTGGTAGGCTCAATGAAGACACTCTTCAGCAATCATCATTTGGGCAGACAATAACAAAGGAAAGTTTGTCAAGCTCCCATAAACATTATAGAAGGAACAAGCATAGTGTACAGGCATGTTTGCAATAAATTAATAATTCCCTTCATCTGTAGCAACTTAATACAGTTCATATAAAGGCACATTCCTATATGCGATTAATCAAATGAACTTCCCATTTTCGAAACCATGGTTTTGTGAAATAGCAATGATAGCCACATTGGTACTAAGATGGAAAGAAGTGAACATACATAATAGAGGAAGAGTAATCCTGTATTTTCATAGAAAACATTTGAGGTCAAAAATATAAAATCACATTCAAATACATGTCTATATGATAGAAGATGATACATTTAGACTAACCTCACCAGGCCTGATGACGCCTTTCTCCTCTGCATCTTGTATCATACTGTACCTAATCCGGCATGCCATGCATGATTTAAGATATCAAAATCTATAAGCAAAGTCCTATAATACATATAATTCTAAAATTACGATGGAGATTGAGATTACTAAAAAAAAAGAACAAAAATATCTAGCTACCTGTCTTTAACGCTAGAGCAGGGTTCCATCATCTCTAGTTTGGCAGCAATACGAGCAACACAACCATCGGCGATATTGTTGAGATACACCAATGGTGTTTTACCTATCAACTGTACATGTCAAAACAACAAGATGAGTATGATAAACAGCGTCCCTTAATCTTAGGCTCAAAAAAAAAAAAAAAAATAAATTCAGGATGAATGCAGCTTACTTCAGTAATATCTTTTGCAATGGCACACTTTTCTGCCATTTTGGTCAGATCACTAAGACCACTAAAAAGAGTAAAAGAGATAAAAAAATAAATATCAAAATAATGTTCAACGAACTACAGAGAAGAACTAATATTTTGAAATCTTAGTGTTGGTGCATAATATATGCACTATACATTTCACTATTAAAATTATTTTCTACATTCATCACTTTGATAAGTATTCACCCATGAATTGTGTAATTTGAATTATGTATCTTCAATATATGTAAGTGCCAACTAGAATGAGTAATAGCATTGTGGAATTAAGTCAAAAAGTAACTAACAAAACAATAAATGAAACAGTGTTATATAGTCAAAGATGAATAGTAAATATTAAATGTTATAATAGTGTTTAATTCAATAAGTGCTGAAGCAAGTGAAAAAGAAAATGAATGTTGACTGATGTGTAATGGATACATGGCGTAAAGTAGTGTTTTGAGAAAAATGTCTTCAATGGAGTTTCCCATTGTATTGCAAAGCCAAAGGAAAAGGCCGTGTGTGTGATCAAAACAAGAGTCTCTCATATGGCTCTATTTTTATTTCTAGATTCTGTATTGTGTTTTTACAGAAAGATTTCATGTGACATGTAAGGGTGTTTCCATGGTGGTGCTTTGGGCTCAACCTAATGTGTAGAGATAGTCTGAGCCAACACGACTACTAGTCGAGATGTTATATCCTAGGTTTGACAAGCTGGATTTAGAGCCTCTATAAAGATTTCTCTCTCCAGATCGTATAGAAGTTTTCACCAAAGGGCGCCACCTCATGAATGAGGTGATCTTGCAGCCGGATAGAAGCCACATTCCACAAGTGTTTTCGGTCAGGAGCTCAAACAGCAAACTTTTGTGTGTGTGTGTGTATGTTTTTTTTTTTTTCAATTATCAAATGAAATCAAATGTGCACCCAAATCACACACTCCCTCCCTCCAAAGAATCCCCCTCTTCTTCTTCTTCTTCTTATCTCTCCCTCTTTCTATATTCAAATCTAAATCTATATTAGCTTGATTCATGCACTAGAAGCTCTTCACAGATTTACCATTCCTCTCAAATTTCCATTTTCTCTGATCAATGTTTTATGGTTATGCATGGGAATGTGTGTGCGTGGGAATCAACTCAAAACATGTGATCGCAAATGTCATGAGATCCTAAAATGGCAGAGGCAACAGCAAGACCAAAGCTCGTTGGCAGTCCAATCAAAGTTCTATCACTTGAAGTACTTGGCTGGGTATTTGTTTCTTTCTAAGATACTAGTTGGCAGGTTCACACCTGCTTAGAACGTGACCGTGGCAATAAATGAGGCCACTACTAATAGCACATTACATGCATCACTAGGTGAATCTCTTGATGTTTGAAACTTGAAATATTCAAGCCAATCCTTTAAGGATTCTTCTGATTGAAGCCTAGTCAAGATAATTTTTGCATCTTGCTGAAGAGAGGATGCTAATGGGATGACACAAATATCCTGAGCCCCAAGAGTTTCAGCACGTCAAAGAATTTCTCAAAGTCTCACATCCATGGGACTTTCAATCACCATATCCAATATTCGACATCCATTGCTTTTAAATCCTTGCATTTGTAGCTTTAACTTCCGTCGTCCCATTAATGGCATTACTTTTACCAAGCATTAATTCTTTGCACTAATGGTCTAGGACCACCTCACTGCTATTATAGAGGTCTTCCATTTGTGAGCTTCTAAATGAAAACGGCATCATTCCACTAAATGTCTTCCTTGTGAGGACGTAGCTCCTCTCTCTAGCCACAAAGATCACCTCATTTGTGAGGTGGTGCCCTTTGGTGAAAACCACCACACAATTTGGAGATAGAAATCTCCGTAAAGGATCCAAATCTAGACAAGCCATATGACAAGGTCTGCTACATCGGGTGGCTATGAAGGTTTTACCAACCATAGAGGGATTGAAAGGAAGCGAGATTACCATGCCTCAATTCACTTTGAATAAATCAATTTATTTGGATATACTCTATGTAATAGTGAATGATGTATAAACACATGGTTTAATATAGTGGGCAAAGACGAAGATCCGTGGATGTAGGCTGAGTTAACCAAATCAAATTTAATTTGGTGTCTTCTCATGGTGATAGTTTTCTGGCTCTAATTTTTTTTTTCCCTATATTTTGTTTTGGTGGTAATTACACCAACACTTAGTATGTTTCCTTCTTTGCGAACCAAGAAAAGAAAAGCCTCTGGCCTATAGACCTACGAAGCACCGACACAACACTTCACAACAAGTGTTGTAGAGGTGTTGGACACAAGAACACATCGGGGACATGTATGGGACACACCACATGGTATATCCCTTTATCTAATTAATTTGTGTTCAGGGGACACGCGAGGGACACTATGGGGACACTCCAACTAGTTTTCTTCCCTTTTTTCTTTAGTGCTTTTGATGGATGTTAGATGTTGAATGCTTATTGTTTTTTGCTTATATTTAAATACTTAATAGATCATCCATAAAAATAAAAAATATATATATAATGATAAGTGTTAATTTAAAAGTAATATATTTTTTAAAATATCGAATTAGTGTTAGTTTTTATTAATTTTGATTGTTCGTGAATATAATATTAACCTACATAACAAATAAAAATATATGAAAAATATATTTTATTGTAGTGTCCTTGCCGTGTTTTTGTCTCTATTTTTTTTAAATCACTGTATCTCTGCTTCTTAGCTATAGACACCAAGCCGAATAATTGATCTGGTTCAAATGTGTGTATTTAATTGTCAGGTACCAAAACATAAACAAAAAATTATGTTATTTTCTTCTGTATCTCCTTAGCAACCAACATAGGCTAGGAACTTTCAATGACTAGCTAAGAGACAAAACTATACAGTAAACAAATCTAAGACTAAAAATATAGAGTAGATAATTCATCAGAAAAAAATATTGCATTAATAGACAAAAACCGAGACTACACAGATAAGAAGGAAATTCAAAATAGCATACTTCTGTGTGTGTGTGTATGTTTTTTTTTTTCAATTATCAAATGAAATCAAATGTGCACCCAAATCACACACTCCCTCCCTCCAAAGAATCCCCCTCTTATCTCTCCATCTCTCTATATATATCACTCTCTATATTCAAATCTAAATCTATATTAGCTTGATTCATGCACTAGAAGCTCTTCACAGATTTACCATTCCTCTCACATTTCCATTTTCTCTGATCAATGTTTTATGGTTATGCATGGGAATGTGTGCGCGTGGGAATCAACTCAAAACATGTGATCGCAAATGTCATGAGATCCTAAAATTGCAGAGGCAACAGCAAGACCAAAGCTCGTTGGCAGTCCAATCAAAGTTCTATCACTTGAAGTACTTGGTTGGGTATTTGTTTCTTTCTAAGATACTAGTTGGCGGGTTCACACCTGCTTAGAATGTGATCGTGGCAATAAATGAGGCCACTACTAATAGCACATTACATGCATCACTTGGTGAATCTCTTGATGTTTGAAACTTGAAATATTCAAGCCAATCCTTTGAGGATTCTTCTGATTGAAGCCTAGTCAAGATAATTTTTGCATCTTGCTGAAGAGAGGATGCTAAAGGGATGACACAAATATCCTAAGCCCCAAGAGTTTCAGCATGTCAAAGAATTTCTCAAAGTCTCACATCCATGGGACTTTCAATCACCATATCCAATATTGGACATCCATTGCTTTTAATTCTTTGCATTTGTAGCTTTAACTTCCACCGTCCCATTAATGGTATTGCTTTTACCAAGCATTAATTCTTTGCACTAATGGTCTAGGACCACCTCACTGCTATTACAGAGGTCTTCCATTTGTGAGCTTCTAAATGAAAACGGCATCATTCCACTAAATGTCTTCCTTGTGAGGACGTAGTTCCTCTCTCTAGCCACAAAGATCACCTCATTTGTAGGTGGTGCCCTTTGGTGAAAACCACCACACAATCTGGAGATAGAAATCTACATAAAGGATCCAAATCTAGACAAGCCATATGACAAGGTCTGCTACACCGGGTGGCTATGAAGGTTTTACCAACCATAGAGGGACTGAAAGGAAGCGAGATTACCATGCCTCAATTCACTTTGAATAAATCAATTTATTTGGATATACTTTGTGTAACAGTGAATGATGTATAAACACATAGTTTAATATAGTGGGCAAAGACAAAGATCCGTGGATGTAGGCTAAGTTAACCAAATCAAGTTCAATTTGGTGTCTTCTCATGGTGATAGTTTTCTGGCTCTAATTTTTTTTTTTCCCTATATTTTGTTTTGGTGGTAATTACACCAACACTTAGTATGTTTCCTTCTTTGCGAACCAAGAAAAGAAAAGCCTCTGGCCTATAGGCCTACGAAGCATCGACACAACACTTCACAACAAGTGTTGTAGAGGTGTCGGACACAAGAACACATTGGGGACATGTATGGGACACACCACGTGGTATATCCCTTTATTTAATTAATTTGTGTTCAGGGGACACGTGAGGGACACTTCAAGGACACTATGGGGACACTCTAACTAGTTTTCTTCCCTTTTTTCTTTAGTGCTTTTGATGGATGTTAGATGTTGAATGTTTATTGTTTTTTGCTTATATTTAAATACTTAATAGATCATCTATAAAAATAAAATATATATATAATGATAAGTGTTAATTTAAAAGTAATATATTTTTTAAAATATCGAATTAGTGTTAGTTTTTATTAATTTTGATTGTTCGTGAATATAATATTAACCTACATAACAAATAAAAATATATGAAAAATATATTTTATTGTAGTGTCCTTGCCGTGTTTTTGTCTCTATTTTTTTTAAATCACTGTATCTCTGCTTCTTAGCTATGGACACCGAGCCGAATACTTGATCTAGTTCAAATGTGTGTATTTAATTGTCAGGTACCAAAACATAAACAAAAAATTACGTTATTTTCTTCTGAATCTCCTTAGCAACCAACATAGGCTAGGAACTTTCAATGACTAGCTAAGAGACAAAACTATATAGTAAACAAATCTAAGA